AAGCCCTAAACCCCTGAACCCGAAGCCCTAAACCCAAAGCCCTAAACCCTAAACCCCTAAATCCTAAACCCTAAGCCCAAAGCCCTAAACCCTAAACCCCTAAACCCTAAACCCTAAGCCCTAAAAGCCTCGGTTCTTGGTTTGCGCCAGCGGGCATCGCTTCGGAAAGCCGGAAGATCCCAGGCCAGACGCTCCTGAAGCACTTCGGAGATCCATCTGCCGACAAGGCCTCGTGAAATTAGGGTGGGTTTAGAGTTTAGAGTTTAGGGTTTAGGGTTTAGGCTTTTAGGGTTGGGGTTTCGGAGATCCATCTGCCGACAAGGCCTCGTGTCACGGGGCTTATAGGGTTTAGGGCCGTTTAGGGCTTAGGGATTTAGGGTTTATAGGGTTTAGGGTTTAGTGTTTACTGTTTACGGTTTTTAGGGTTTAGGGTTTAGAGTGTCGGGTTACTTCACATGCTATGGTGATTTGTGTGCGTGTGTGTGTGTGTACACGTTTCTGTTTGGTGGTTAAAACTGCGTATTTAATATATGTATACACCTACATGGGGGATCATAGGGGTAATGGTCATTGGTGATGTTCATTGATTCGTACTCGCATTTTTTGACGTCGTGGAAACCTGCTGCAGGTGCAAGCATGCCCTGACCTATGCTGCGATCGCTGCGCCACCGCATCGGGTGGCACCTTGCGCCACTGTCCTGAAGCAGCCATTTACGGGGCTTTGGGATTGAAATTCTGTTCTAAATAAGAGTTAGACCCTGATGCCCTGAGAACGAAGCCCCTGAACCGAAGCCGCGGCTTTGCACTGTGAAGCAGCTGCATCGGACAAGAGTTCTGCATTGTCCAGACGGTGTTGGGGGTTTAGGGTTTAGGGTTTAGGGTTTAGGGCTTAGGGTTTAGGGTCGTTTGAATCCGATGTGGTGTGCACATGGTTGACGCGCAGGGCCGCAAACAGAGGGTCCTGAATCATTTGTAATATCGTTCCGAACCCTAAACCCCTTCCAGGGGGGTTCCGAACCCTAAACCGTAAGCCCGAACCCTAAACCCCTTCCAGGGGGTTCCGAATCCTAAACCGTAAGCCCTGCAGCTATAGTCTTTTAACGTTCCCAGAGGCCTCGTCTAGTTGTTCGGGTGTTTCTGTTAGGTGCTTTTAGTGAGTTCTGTTGCGTCTCGGCCCTGAAGCCGTCTACACTTTAGGACCAGAACTAATGCCATTCTGCTTAGGGTTTAGGGTCTAAGGTTGGGGAATCTTCCTGCGAAGCCTACGCAAAGACCACGGGTCCAATGTGCCTGTCTTTCTGGGGTGAAGGGTCCACGAGACCTGTCGGAACCTAATGGATAAGTACGTATTGACCCTGAGCTTCAACATTGTGGCATCTTGCCGTTTGCATCCCTACCTCAACCTACCAGAATCTACTGTTTTGGAGGTTTCATCATAAACCTGAATGTCGAAGTTATAGGACCCTAAACCCTAAACCCTAACCCTGAGGCTCCGTATACCCATATCGTAAGTACATTGGCCGTAAAGTAGTCCCTATATAGGTACTTTGGGGCCAACTTATATACTAGTTGGGTACATGGAACCCTCAAGGGAATGTAGAAGTTACCTATAGGCCCCATAGTAGTTCCTTCTTGCGGCTTATATTTAGGATCCTATTCGGTAATCCCAAAAAAGGAACTAGGGGTTTAGGGTTTAGGGGTTTAGGGTTTAGGTTTAAGGGTTTAGGGTTTAGGGGTTTAGGTTTAAGGGTTCAGGGTTTAGGGGTTTAGGGGCTAAGGGTTTAGGGTTACGAGATGGAGTGGAAACTGCTGTACTCCTTACTGTATGGTTGCGCAAGGCTTACAAGCTGGTTTGAGAAGGCTTCTGGTAGAAGAATTTCTGGAAGTGTCTCCATTATTGGCCTTAGTTATCGTTTCTTCGGGACTATAATGTAAAGGAATATTATTCACACCGGTGTAGTTCGTGACGGAAACAGCCCAAGTCTTCAAGTGGGTAGTTACTGGTATAGGAGCCTTATAGAAGGTCTATATTATACCTTTCAGGAGTCTTATAGAAGCCGTATATACCCTAAACTCCCCACCTGCAGTATCCTTTAGCCAAGGTGGGATTCCCGTTCATTGGCGAGCAGGGCCCGGGAAGGAGAATGTCACAAGGCGAGGCTTCGCTCGGATCTGAGCTCGACCTCAAGGGCGACATGAACCCTAAACGGGTTTAAGGTTCATATACCATATAGGGATTCCTGGTATAAGGGTACAGGGCCCTACTTTTAAGGGTCATTTCGTCCTTAAGGGATTCCGCTGATGCTTACGTCGCTTTGGTGCTGCACTGATTAGAGTACGGTTGCGTTGTATCCGAGACCCGAAACCCAGCGCGCCCTAAGCTAAGCTCGAAACCCGAGACGCACTTTGTAGACGACTCCTGGGTTTCTACTGCGAGAGTTGCCCTGCTTCGGTTCAGGCAATGTATGATCCCAAAAAGCCGTCAGCAGCCTTGTGGCGGTGAGATTGTGGCAAAACCCAATGCCTTAAGCACTGTGTGTAGTCTCAAGAGCTCCATTGACGACCATACAGCAGACCCGACTTCGTAACACAATCAGAAGACAGAGGCATGACAGAAGAGAACTACTACAGGTTTTATGGCCTCTCAACTGCCCTAGATTCGGTAAGCAGATTGCAGCGCTACAGTCCAGAGAAGGGACACCCTAAATCTCGGAGCCGCTTAAGACCCAACCCACACCTCCAATGATCTGAAGAGCCCAGAGACCCGTCTGAACCCTAGGCGCAAACTTAAAACCCTATCAGTAAACTCTGAACTCTCTAACCCCAAACCCTCTAGAACCCCTTAAGACTTACACCCCAAACATTTAAAACCTGGCTTCAACCAGCAGCGAAGCACCGAAATCCCTCTAACCCTAAACCCTAAACTCTAAACTTGCCCTAAACCCTCAATCCCTTCTTTTCTGTCAGGGCCAGGGGTTTCGTGGGCTTCCGGAAAGCCTCGGAGGCGGGCTGGCAGACGGGAGGTAAGCTTCGGTCTCATACGGCTGATGACATAAATCCTGCATGACCCATGAGAAGGGATAGGGTTTAGGGTTTAGGGTTGATGATATAAATCCTGCATGACCCAGAATAATTCTTAACGATATACCATAAAATCTCATAGTTTTGGGTCCTTAAGGTAATGCAGGATTTAGGTCATCAACAGCAGGGCTCGAGTTTAGGGTTTGGGTTTTTTCGGTTCATAAGGGTTTTTAGGCTTGAGGAGTTGGGTGTAGCGTTTTGGGTGGGTCAAAGGTATAGGGAGGGCATGACCACAGCGTCGGAGTTGAAGTACTTCCAGTCTTGAGGCGTTTAGGCTTCAGTGTGGTCTGCGGCTCTTTGGAGGGATCTGTCGTGGTTTGTTTAGGATTTAGGGTTTAGGGTCTAGGGTTTAGGGTTTAGGGTCTGGGGTTTAGGGTTTGATAAGGTTGCAGGAGCAATCTGTCAATCCCGAGGCATTTCCGAACTGATGGCTATTTGCAATTCGTTTTGGCATGACGTATCGGATTAAGTCTTGTTTGTAGGACACACAGGATGCTCGAATTTCGCATCTGATAAGGCAACTATGCACGCTCTGCGGAGCGCAGTCTTTCAGAGAACTATCTCGCTATTCTTCTGCCAGGACCGACCCCAGTTGCTACATGCGATTCCCACACTGCAAGCCCACCGCAAGCTCGTCTTCTGATTGTTGAGGCGTTTGCTCCGCAAGCCTGCGCAGGACTTGACTTTCTGTTCTCGTCCGGTGTAATTTCGGTCAACAAGAACGATAGAAAGTTGTCCGGCTTGCATTCATGTAGGCCTACGAAAATTTCCAGCATGCACGGTTCGGCATTCGGCATGTCACTCTAGTGGCGAGAGTGCCGTGGGGAAATCGTAGGCAGCTTTCTCTTTTCGAAGTATATAAGGATTAGGTGTGCGTCCAAGGGTTCTCAGATTCTTGGAATCAGGAGTGTTGGTACTGTTGATGATATAAATCCTGCATCACCTCCGGGATCCTAAACTATGGGAAGGGTTTAGGGTTTAGGGTTAGGAGGTCTGTTGGTATTTGCGCGAGACCGCCCTGGGCCCTGAAATACACAGCCCCAAAACCCAGACTAATTTAGGGGCCGAAATAATTGCCAACACTGTTTTGGGGGGCTCCTTATTACAATTAGAGTATAAAGGGCTCTAGAACCCTATTCTAATTATTAAGGCCCCTAGAATTCCAAGGCCTTTATACCTCTGAAAGTCCCCCTAAACCCTAATCCCTACACCCACACCATGAAGCCTCCCAGCCGGACAACAGAAGAATGGGCTTAGGGTTTAGGGTTTAGGGTTTAGGGTTTAGGGTTTACTTGGAGGTTCATGGGTAGTTATAAGTGGGGTTATAATTAGGCTAACTACAGTTATAACCCATATTAAGGGACTTATAGCCCTACTTATAACTACCCATGAACCTCCAAGTAGGGTTTGTTCCTAAACCCCCAACTTAAGACGTTGATGTCGATTCTCGGGGTACTCTTCTGTTACTTTTCATCCCGAACCCCAAGCCCTGAACCCTGAAACCCTGAACCCTAAACCCCTGAACCCTAAACCCCAAGCCCTGAACCCTAAACCCCTAAACCCAAACCCTGAACCCTAAAAGCCTGAAGCCGCCAGACCCTCACCACCCTCTACAGTCCGAAAAAATTGCCGAGAGACCCTAAACCCTAAACCCCTAAACCCCTAAACCCCTACACCCCTGCACCCCTAAACCCCTAAACCCAAACCCCTGAACCCCTCAACCCCTAAACCCTAAACCCCAAAAACCTAAACCCCTAATCCCCTAAACCCCTAAACCCAAGACCCTAAAACCTAAACCCTAAACCCAAAACCCTAACCCGTGGCTCTTAACGCCGAAATTCCAGGAGGAGAGCCGGGCTCAAGCCCTTTCATGTCAGCCCTTCAACTCCGAGGCGACACCTGGAATGCTTTGGGGTTTAGGGGTTTATAGAGTTTAGGGGTTAGGGGTTTAGGGTTTAGGGTTTAGGGGAGCTTTGGGGGTTCAGCCCTAAACCCTAAACCCTTCAACCCTAAACCCTAGACTTTAAACCCCGATTTCTGCCAAAAGCTACGTTTTCGAGGTATAGTTGGGGATGGTTTAGGCTTTAGGGCTCAGGGTGTCGGCTTTAGGGGGGGCGGGTTTTGGGATTTTTGGGGTGGGTTCTTGGGGGTTCGCGTAAGATATGGGAGTTTTGCACGGTCTTATGAAGGGGTCCGGGTTCTCGGGTCTAGAGTGTTGAATCTTAGGCTTTTGGGTTTGCTGGTGGTTTTTTTAATTATTCGGGTTGCGAGGGTCAGTGTGAAATTAGGGTTGGGGCGTGTAGTGTTTATAATATGGGGACTTTGACTTGTGGTTTTGGGGTTTAGGGTGTAGGGTTATACCCTAAACCCTCTCAACCCTAAACCCTAAGACTTTGACTTGTGGTTTCGGCGGGGGGCTGAGGTTTCGGGTTTCTTGGGGGGCTGGGGTTGTGCATAGGAGTTCGGGGTTTACAAGAGTTTCGGTTTCGCCTTGTTTCTGGCGTTTCCCGTTTTGCATATGTCTTAAGCTCTATAACCTGAAGCATCCCTGAACCAGAAAGATACAAATTGTCCAGAATGAGTTTCGTTTTGGGGGGTACAAGTGGGTTTGGGGTTTAGGGACTATCATGTTGCTAAACCCTAAACCCTAAACCCTAAACCCTAAACCCTAAACTAGAGGAAGCATGCCCAGAAGTCTGCGTCCTGCGCAGGCAGTCAAAACGCTCCTCCACCTGCCGAGACATCGACGACGAGCGGCTTCTTGGAAGTAACGGCGAATGCTCCGAAACCGCAGCTCCAAGCCCCAACCAATGCCTAACCCCATCGAATCCTCGTGTCCTCGGTATCAATACCATATCAATACCCTAAACCCTACCCATAGGCCCCATAGTAGTTCCTTTCTGTGGCTTATATTAAGGATCCTATTAGGCAATCCCAAAAAGGAACTACTATGGGGCCCATGGGTATAAACCCTAAACCTAAGTACAGTTGTCACTCTTGTTTGCCGCTGGTCAGAATCAGGCCGTGGGTCGCCTGTTTAGGGTTTAGGGTTTAGGGTTTAGGGTCTTGGGATGCTCCTGGTTTCTACCGCTCAAGCTCTTTGCATCCCCGTTCTCGCAGTGTGTCCTTATCCAAGTTCCACGACTCCCTAAACCCGAAACCCTGTAAACCCGAAACCTCCTAAACTCGAAACCTCCTAAACCCTCAACCCTAAACCCTAAACCCTAAAACCCGGAAGCCCTAAACTCTAAACTCCAAACCGCAAGACTCAAGAGACCCCGCGCCCTTTCTGTCCGAGCGGCCTCTCCTAAGGCTCTCCGAAGCCCAAGCGTCGGCGATGCCTCCTCAGCTTGCTGTGCGCTGCGAGCCCAAAGCCCTAGCCTTGCAAATCTTTCACCTTTTGGGGGTCCATATATATATATATATATATATATTTGACGAGAAAGGATAAAGTAAGCTTCGGGCTAGAATTCCACCCTAAGCAGCAAAAACCCAACGAACAACCATTGCAAAGAGTCTGAATGTAGCAGAAGGCATCGTCTACTGGTTGAGACCCTTATCTTTCGACTTGCTCTCGAACCCTTAGTCTCAGTGCCGCATGAAGGTTTAGGGTTTAGGGACCTCGAAAAACCTAATTTTTCCGGCCGCAACTTAAGCTTTTTGCTCCAAAGCCAAACTTTTTGACTTGTGGGGCTCTTATGAGGTAGTTTTATTCTGAAAGTTAGAACTTTTCAACCCGTGGGTATTTGGGAAGTAAGTCTTGGTGCCTTTGGAAAGAAATTTGGAAGGTACTTTTGTGATTTCGGTGGAGAACGATCCCCGCATCGACGGCAACAGCGCAAAAGCCTTCTCTAAAGAGTCTCGCGAGTCTACTTAGGTTAAGACCCCAATCAACAGAAGTTCATGTGAGTGTACCCGGCAAGCTTAAATGTTCCTCCTGGAAGATACATGGAAACAGCGTAATTTACAATGACTTCCCCAAGTTAAGGTAATGTTCTTCAGTTGCTTCCCTAAACTTTTAAACCCCTAATATAGGGGCCTTAATGATTAGAATAGGGTTTTGGGTCCCATTATACTACAATTATATATAACAGGGAACCCCCCAAAAATATCAGAGGTAATGATGAAGGCCCCAGCATTTAACCTCATTCTTGAGCTCCCTGGGAGGTGCTTAATTCGCAATCGCATCGTGCATCTTCCTGTCTTGCTCTGCACACGATGGCCAGTTGAGGGTGTACGGTACAGGGTTCAGGGTGTAGTGAATTTAGGGTTTACCTTAAGAACCGAAAACCCACTTCTTTGTAGGTTCTTATTATCAACCCTAATATGGGATTTATAGGGACCCTACAAAAAAGTAGGTTTTGGGTTCTTAAGGTAGGCTTTACGATGTAGGATTCTAGGTTTGGGGCCGGTGGCCATCAGCATCGGGAAGATGACTGCGATGAAGGGTTTAGGGGTTAGGGTTTAGGGTTTAGGGTTTAGGGGTTAGGGTTTAGGGTTTAGGGTTTAGGGTTTAGGGTTTAGGGGGTCATGCCGGCAGCGAAGGGGCGCGTCTGGCGTGGCGAGGAAAACGGAGAGGGCCCGGGGCTCTCTGAACGACTTGTGCTTCAGGGTTTAGGGTTTAGGGTTTAGGGTTTAGGGTTAACTTTGGGTCTCTGGGAAGTGCTGTCTGAAAATTGCTGGGCCCCTCATCTCTGTCCCTATACATTTATACCGCACTTGGCCTCGAGACAATGTTCTTTAGGATAAAGGCCCCTATATCGGAGTACAACGACACAGTGATTTAAAGGTATTGGCTTGGGCTCTATAAAGTCCATAAAGTCCATACAGAAAACTAAGAAAAACCGTGCGAACTTGCACAGAAGACTCCGGGCAAATCCAATGTGCGTTACATACTTCCGCTTGAAATTGCTGCCCAGACTTTCTAATCCGTAGCCGCATATCATGGCATTTCCTTAGATGTCCCGACTTATATATTATTCACCTTGCTGACTGTACTGCTGATGAACGAAACCCTCCATGGCTCTTACTAAGGAGTGTGCCGTGATTCCCATTCGGATTTCGTCCATGAACCCCCTAAGCCCGCTCGCCCTAGCTTATACCTTTGGTTTTTCTCTTACATGTCTCTACTCTTTTGCCTTGGTTGCCTTATATGGGACCCCTAAACCCAAAACCCTAAACCCTAAACGCCCTCCCTCGCAGCACAACGACAAGCTCTTCCTGGGAAGGGTCTCGGCAGTGCGCCTGATTGTGCCTGAGGCGAGGGCTAGGTATAGCATTTTAGGCCTAGTAAATCCGCAAGGTGTAGGGTGTGCGATTTGGGGATTTGCGGTTTAAGAGTTCGCAGCAGGTGAGTTGTTTGCAGAGTCATGTGTTCGAGTTTTCACTTGCCTGCCTAAGTGAGAGTGACACAGCAAGCAAGCAAGCATGCATGCATCCCTCCATCCCTTTGTCCACACCCTGCCCCACCCCAACCCACCTACCCCCGACCCACCCACACATGTATGCTGCTGGCATGCACCTATCTGCCTGCCTGCATACATGCGTACATGAGTACAGGCACAGTCATAGAGGCAAACCTGCCTACATGATGCGTCCATCCGTACCATACATACATACATACATACATACATACATAAATATGTATACCTATGTATACATGCCAGCATGCATGCATACATACGTACGTATCACCTACCGCCCACTCGCCCGCTCGACCGATCGACTGTTTCATGATGAAGTACATGCACAGACAGAAGGCAGTTGCACATACACATACAAATACGCATACATACATGCACGTACACGTACGATGAGATGTACAACTACGTATTCATAGCTACATGTACACTTACATGGACAGGTTGGAATTTACATAAACAGTCAAAGTACACATGCACATACACATGCACATACATACAGCTGTCAGGCATTCATTCATTCATGCATCCATGCATGCATGCATTTCATTCTATCCTTTACACACACACACATACGCACATACTTACGTACGTACATAACGTGCACACACGCACTCAGGCTCGCACACTCGCATGCAGACAGCGAGTTCTGCGCATAGTGCATACGCATGCTCATTCGCACGAGCGAGTGTTTGTGTGTGTGTGTGTGTGTATGTGTGAGTGTCTGCGTATCTGCACAAGCATTGTGTGTGCAGGTGTAACGGTGTAACTATCTGTGCATGTGCTCCTTGACATGGGCGGCAAGCTTGCTAGTACCTGACTGAAGCCAGATAGAGAAGTCCATGCATAGGATGATCGTGCATACATGTGACTAGCTCACGGTCTACCGCATGTATGTTGCAAACCTTGCCCCCTGAATTCCAGACACCTACTTCCAGGTTCGTGGGTCATTAGGGTTGTAAGTTAAAAGTCGGATAGCTAGGGTTCCCAGTCCCCCGGAAGGATCTAAAAAGTAGAACCCCTTATTTGGGACCCTATACTACTAAGGGCTCTTTCTAGGAACCCCCATTAAGGGATCTACTTTTTAGATCCTCCCGGTGGTCTGGGTTATAACCCCCTATGCATAACCACGGTGTGAACCTCCAATGCGCCTTACAGCGATAGTTTTCGATTCACCCTAAACCCTAAACCCTAAAACCCAAACCCTAAACCCTAAACCCTAAACCCCGAACCCAAGTACTCTAAACACTAAAATGCCCACATTCCTTTGCCGGAGGCTGCGAGGTCCCTGGGCCAGGCTGTCTCTCGGGCTTAGGGCCTATGGGGTTTAGGGTTTAGGGGTTGAGGGTTTAGGGCCTGTAGGGTTTAGGGTTTAGGGCCTATAGGGTTCAGTGTCGCGCTTTTCAGTAGTTGTGGCGATGTGTGGTCTTTCAGTTCTGGGGCTTCTGTTCGTAGGTAGTTGTGAGAAGCTTTGCTCCCTGTACCTTTACAATTTACCCGGCGTTATGCGAGCTTGGGAAGCTTTTGATTCAGAGTCCAGAGAGTGAGGGGAAGGTTTGGGGTGTGAGGGCTCGGGGTGAAGCATCATATACGCCCGAGCCCAATGCTCAATCTATGAGTTCAGACTTTTGACTTTGGGGACAAAGATTCATACCGGGGTGCGGAAGAAGTAGCAAGCATCCTCCCCATGATATTTAGCGGGACGCCAATTTACACCTATGCGTGCACAGAATGTCTAGTAATATAGGGGCCTCAATAATTGCCTTCGTTATTTTGGGGCTCTTACAATTATACTATGAAGGACCCCGAAACCCTATTCTAATTATCAAGGCCCCTGTAGCAGTTTAATTTGCTCTTGCAGCTTAGGCGACTCAGGGTGTGGGGCGAGGGCTCGAGGAAGGGGCCCCGGCTGCAGGTAAGCCGAACGTGCTCATTGTTGGGTAGTATGGTCTAGATCCTACGATGGGAGGGGTTGCTGTGTGGAATATCGGGGCCTGAATAATTCCTGATGTTATTTCGTAGGTTTCCTTGGTATAGTTTAAGTGTGCGAATTATGAAGGCCTCTAAGTTGCTCTAGCTCAGACACAGCAGCCAATACTCACAATGCTGTATGCCTGCTGTTTAGCCCTATGCCCTAAACCCTCAACCCTAAACCCTAAACCCTAGCTAGTTTGCAGGCTGGCTCGGTTCTGCCAGAGCGGGAGCAGGACGCAGAAGCCTGCGACGGTGTCAACTTGCCCCAGAAGTGTGAAGAAGGCTTGAAGGTATCAATCTGTTGGGCTTTAGGGGTTTAGGGTTTAGAGTTTAGGGTTTAGGGTTCTAGGTTCTCCAGTAGTACCCTTTTGCCCTTTTTCTTTTTGGGTTTCCTTCATTAAAACCAAATAGTAAGAAAAAGGCTACCCTTATTATTAAGGGGCTACTGGGGAACCTAGATGAACGTGGAGACAAAAACTTGTAGAGAAGGACTTCGCGCCCGGACAACACAGGTCCTGCTGGGTCTATTGCATAGTCCATGGGCTTACAACAGCATTCAGGTCATAATCATAGAAATGTACTATAGGGGCCCAAACAATTTCGAATACCGTTTGCAGGCTCCTTATTGTCATTGTAGTATAATAGACCCCGAAAAGCCTGGAATCACCATTACGGCCCCTAGATTAGGTTTCTTACCCGACGGGTCTTCAATCTGTGCGGAAGGACGCTGAGCTTCTTCGAGCGGTGATCCCTGAGGTCCATCGATGTCTTGCGTGGCAGACCGGGAAACTTAGTAAGTACGTCCCGTAAGTGTATCAACCTGTGCATTTGCACGTGTATGTATGTATGTACGTACGTACGTACGTACGTACGTATGTATGTATGTATGTATGTATGTATAGATAGATAGATAGATAGATAGATAGATAGATAGATAGCTATATACATAATTCTATATATATATATATAATGACTTTTGTATATGT